CTACCATTAGTAATGAGGTCAGAAAAGGCTGCAGGATACCCTCAGACATAAGCTGTGTCAGCAGGGGGCAAGGAGCATTACTGCTGGTGACAGCTCAGTCACTTGGCTGTGGGTGGCTTGTCCCAAGGTCAGAGCTGTGAGGTGGCCCTGGGGCTGATGGTGGCCCTGGGCAGAGGGTGGCCCTGGGGCTGGGGGTGATGCTGGGCAGAGGGTGACCCTGGGGCAGAGGGTGACCCTGGGGCTTGAGGGGGGCCCTGGGCAGAGGGTGTCCCTGGGGCGGAGGGTGGCCCTGGGGCTGAGGGTGGCCCTGGGGCAGAGGGTGGCCCTGGGGCTGGGGGTGATGCTGGGCAGAGATGAGCAGTGAAGTTTAGGGTGACCCTGGGGCTTGAGGGTGGCCCTGGGCAGAGGGTGTCCCTGGGGCTGAGGGTGGCCCTGGGGCTGAGGGTGGCCCTGGGGCAGAGGGTGGCCCTGGGCAGAGGGTGGCCCTGGGCTGATGGTGGCCCTGGGCAGAGGGTGGCCCTGGGGCTGAGGGTGGCCCTGGGCTGATGGTGACCCTGGGCAGAGGCAGCTGGCAAAGCTCTCTGCCCAGGCTGGGGTGCCTGGGGGAGCTGGAGGACTCTGCAGCCCTGATCTCCCTGTGCCTCCTTGGCTCTGCCCCAGGTACCAAGGTCTATGCAGCGATGGGCAATCATGACTTCCACCCCAAGAATCAGTTTCCTGGGAAGGAGCACAGGATCTACAACCAAACAGCAGAGCTGTGGCGGCCCTGGCTGAATGATGCCTCCCTTCCTCTCTTCAGAGCAGGTCTGGCACCACTGGCTCGTGTTTAGAGCATGCTGGGGATAGGAGGAGGGGTAGGAGAACACCATGAACAATTTTCCTGGCTTCTATGCTTGGAGCAACAGTATTCATAGAGAATTTGCAGAGGTAGGGTCCAGTTTAATGCTGATTTCTGTCTTGGAGCTCTGCTTGCAAGAGGAGAAATTATTTTATACTTTAGTCTCTTCTGCCATTATCAAGTTACTGGAGAGAATGCAGAGTGGTGACCTGCAGAGGGAGGAAAAATATCTTTAAAGGTAGCAGCTGGTGCTGGGGCTCTCCAGAGCTGCCCAGCTCCTGATGCTGCCCATTGTGCCCATTCAGGTCTCCCTTCACTGGGAGAGCCACAAGAATGGCAAGAGACACACAGGGAAGAGTCACTCCACATCCTGGAGTGGTCAGGGCACTGTCCCAGGCAGGGACCCTGCTGGGGCTGTTGCTAAGGAGAGCAGAGAGAGGTGGAAACAAAGGGATCTGGGATCACAGCCACCAGTGTGAGCAGATCTCCAGCTCTTCCTCCATTGGTTGCATTTTTAAGGAGCTTTCTACAGCGAGAAGCTGCCTGGCCCAGGGATGAGGGGAAGGATGGTTGTCCTCAACACCAACCTGTACTATGACCAGAATGATGAGACAGCTGGTGAGGAGGATCCTGGGGGGCAGTTCCAGTGGCTGGAAGAAACACTGACCAACGCCTCCAGAGACAATGAAATGGTATTAAAATAAACAACCTGGGCTTCTCCCCAGCCTGAAAGCTCTTCCTGCTCTGCTGCCTCTGCAGGTGCAGCTGGCTGGTGCTCCATGGGTGCTGTGGGCTCTGTGCTCAGGGCAGCTCTTGCTTCTCTAGGTCTACATTGTGGGGCATGTCCCTCCTGGCTTCTTCGAGAAGAAACGGGGCAAGGCCTGGTTCCGGAGGGGCTTTAACGAGCGCTACCTGGCAATTGTGCAGAAGCACCACGGGGTGATCGCTGCCCAGTTCTTTGGGCACCACCACACAGACAGCTTTCGTATGTTCTACAGCCACACAGGTACCTGGCCTGGTCACCCAAGCACTTGTGTGACAGCTCTCAGAATCACTGTCCATGTGAGTTTTTAGTGGCTGTTGGCTGAAAGCAGCTAAGAAGCCAGAAAAATCATCTGACATGCTTCGGGCAACAAGAGGCTACAGAGGTTCTCATCTCTACCCCCAGTCTGTAGCTCCTGCCCTCCTTCCTATTCACCCTCAAATATTGTTGTTTCCCCTCAATGCCTGGCACCTTCTTGCCTGTTCTCTCTTGGAGGGTTTGGCATTGCTGAGGGAGCAGTGCTGAATCTCTGTGTGTGTGGGGTGCTCTGGGTGAGCACCTTTGCAGAGTGTGGTTCCCTGGCCACTCTCACTGCAAGAGTCTTTGCCAGCATGGAGAGCCCATTGCTGGCTGCAGCAGCCCTGTGCTCAGTCCCCAGTTTTGTTCCACGTGTTAATCTTTGTGTGTGTGGTGGTACAGGGAGCTGGGGACAAAGGTGCTGTCAGCAGAGCAATCTGCTCCAGGTGCTCACTGTGATGGGGACAGGGTGTGGGACAAGCCATGGCCTCCAGTCACAGTTGGTTTTGCATTTCTGTGAAGGTACTCCAATCAATGTCATGTTCCTGGCCCCTGGAGTGACTCCCTGGAAAACAACATTGCCTGGAGTGAGCAATGGAGCCAACAACCCTGCGATTCGGGTGATCAGCTATGATCAGGACACGCTGCAGGTCTTGGTAGGGGATCCCTGTGTGCACCACACTGCAGCTCTGGAACAACTTTAATTCCCCCTGTAGTCAGAACAGGCTTTTCAGGATTTCTCAGTCCACAGCAGCTGAGTGGCTGTGTGGGAGAGGACTCTGACCCAGGATATTTCAGCTTTGTGTCTGGCACAAAGATTTAGTTGGAGCGTCAGTGAATCAAAGCTTGGCCCTGACAGCCAGTGCATCCTACTGGGATGAGTTCCCCTGGGCAGGGTCAGACAGTTTTTGTGGTGATCTTCATGTCCTTGCCATTTGACACTTGCCTTGCTCCTCAGATAATATATAATAAGAACTACTCTTTGAGTAATAACTGACTTGTCAGATCTCCTCCAAAACCTTTAAGCCATCTGAAAAATTGTGTCCCTCTACTTGCTAAAATGATGCATTTGGAGGAGTGGATCTGAATTGAGGTGAATTGTAGGGGCAGCTTCTGATTCCTGTCTCTTGTTTGCCAAGAGATGGAGGAGGGGTCCTTATGCCCTCCTTTGTAGTGGATGAAGCTCTCTCTAGTTGCTCTGTTTACATGTTTATAGCATAGAAGTGAATGCTAAAATACGCTGTGCAAGGATGGGGAGCCAGTGAAGCAGAGAGAACAAGGCCAAGAGACTGAGAACAGAAGCTGTGAAAAACTTGCTTCTTCAGTTTGTTCATAGTTGAGAAGATAATGCTCAGTAACACTCGTGTAGCCCTTGCTTCTGCTGCTGGGCAGTGTTGATAGAAACTGACTGATGTCTGAAGCAGGCCAGGCTCAAAGCTTCTGATGTTTGGAGGTCAAAGTCAAGCAAGAGCAAAGCTGCCCCTTCACCCCTTAGGAAAAGGCTCTGTTTGGGGTGGGTTCTGAAGGGTTTCACCTGAGGTGTGCCCAGGTGCCCTGTCAAAGGCAGCTGGGCCCTTGGGGTGGGGGATGCTGCAGGCTGATGTTTGGAGGTCAAAGTCAGAGCAAAGCCGCCCCTTCACCCCTTAGGAAAAGGCTCTGTTTGGGGTGGGTTCTGAAGGGTTTCACCTGAGGTGTCCCCAGGTGCCCTGTCAAAGGCAGCTGGGCCCTTGGGGTGGGGGATGCTGCAGTGGGGACCAGGCCAGACCCAGTGTCACTCCAGGGCCAATCATGTCCTGATGTCCCCCTAGTTGTGTTTTTCTCTCCCTCAGGATATGGTCACTTACTACTTGAACCTCACTCGTGCCAACATGATGGCCTCACCACGGCAGGAAGAGTTCCCAGAGTGGGAAGAAGAGTACAGGCTGACAGAAGCCTTCCAGGTCCCTGATGGCTCTGCACGCTCCATGCAGACGGTGCTGGAGAGGATCTCCAGGGACCCCCACTACCTGCAGCTGTACTACGAGTTTAACTCTGCCAGGTATGACCTGGAGCCGTGCCAGCAGCAATGCCGTGTGGATCACCTGTGTGCCATCAGGGAAATCGATTTTCTAAAGTATGATGAGTGTGTGAAAACCAACAGCTCTGCCTCTGCTGCCAGCAGTGCTTGGCTTTTGGTTTTCTGCATGTTCTTAGGATTTCTCAGTCCTCAGCCAGTGCTGTGATGGCCAAGAGGATGAGAAAAGGAGGAGGGCATGAGATCACACTACACTGCATGTGAATTGGTGATTTTGGCATTGAGAACTTGCTTGGAAAAGAGGACAAAATTGTAAATGTTTACTAAAAGCCCTGTGATGCTGATTTGAAATTTTCTAGGGATGTGTGAAGAGCAATGTTTTTGAGAGCCTCATTGTGCCAAAGTGACTGCAACAAGGAGTGTCTCCCCTCTGCTGGGGCAGCCTCACAAACCAGATAAAGACCAGGCCTCCCTGTGGACATTAACCTCCAAGGGATGAGGGTAGGGAGCTACCACACATTCCAGAGGCTGCTGCCAGCACTCCTTATTTTGGCACACACTTTTTTTTGCAAGTCTGCACAGCTGGTGACTCAGGAAGTCTTGTTGTGGTGGCTTTGTTCCACAGCAGCCTGTGGCTTTTGAGCAAAGCGGGGTGGGGTGACAGCCCAGAGAGCCCAGGGCAGGCTGCAGGTCAGTGACAGGGGATGGTGCCTCAGCCTGCCCAAGGCCTCTCTCTGTCAGGGGAGCAGGCTGAGCCTGAGAGCAGCAGAGCTGGGCTCTGGAGTACAACTTACAGAGAGGATTATGCCAGAATCAGATAAAACTCCACTCGGAAAATAAAAGCAACCACTGTTCAAAATCCACTGATCAGTGTCACTTGTGTACCAAAGTGCAGCACAAGGCAGCAGAGCAGGTCACAAGCAAAGCAGCTGGGGCAGCTTTAGGAGCTGCAGCCTGAGGCAGCCCAAGGACAAGGCCTGCAGGGAGAAGGGCACTTTGCCATGGCAGGATCCTCCCGTGAGCCACAGCACGACAGGCAGGCTCAGCTGTACCACTGCACACTGGAACGAACACACTACACTCTCCAACCTGGCAAAATCTGCATTTAATTTACAACATAGTAAAGGTTACAGGTAAAAAGCTCAACAGAAGTGTGAAAAGGCCTATTACATATTACACAAGTGTACAAATGTCTGTACAAAGCCCCTCGATGTTCCTGTCCCCTCGTGGCCAGCTGTGGCCCCTAAGCTCTGAAATAATAAGAGCTGGTTCAGAGTCTGAGAGGAGAAGAGCTTTAAAAAAATGAGCAGTGAAGTTTCCCTTGTCAAGAAAAATCTTGCAAAGAGCCACTTACAAAAACAAAATTCCAAAAACCCCCAACCCAACCCTCTTCCCCCCAAAATAAAACCCAAAAGAAAAAGAAGGGAACCTGCTCAACTTTTGTTTGTCCTGACTAGTCTTACTCTAAAGAGTTGCCTTCAGAAAGCAACTGGCTGGGAAATGAGAATTGTAGAGGCCAGACTAAAGAGGAAGAGTTATTGTGGGAGCACTAGGAAGCAGAACAAATGCCCAACAGCTGAACCATCAATGGCAACTTAAAACACAGAGCAGCACAGCTGGATCATGGAGCAGGTGCTGAATCCACACAAGGAATAGTCTGAGCTGGATGTGATGGTGTGGGGAGGGAACAGAGCAGTCTCTCAAGCCATGGCTCTTGTGAGCTGGGCAGCTGCCTGCTGCCACCTCAGGGACATGATAGAAGCAATCACCATGGAGCAGAACTCACAGATTTTGGGGCATCTGTCTGAAATGGGTCTGGTGCATCCAGCATCTCCCTGGAACACAGCACTGATCCAGCATTCCCACCTCCCTGGAACACAGCTCTGATCCAGCACCATCCAGCATCTCCCTGGAACACAGCACTGATCCAGCATTCCTATCTTCCTGGAACACAGCACTGATCCAGCACCATCCAGCATTCCCAGCTCACTGGAGCACAGCTCTGATCCAGCATTCTCATCTCCCTGGCACAGAGCTCTGATCCAGCACCATCCAGCATTCCCAGCTCACTGGAAACACAGCCCAGCCCCAACAACCTGGCACTGCCTCCCCAAGTTGCTGCAGTCCTGCACACAGTGAACAGCCAGGTACATGCTCTCATTTCAGTGCACATTTCCTGGATCCCCCAAACTGCAAAGGAATGTGACTTATAGCTGAACTGCATTAGAGTGTGTACAAAAATCTAGAGTAAACTTAAGAATAAAGCTCTGGCCTTACCTCGCATAAAGCACAGCCACAATATGTCTGAATATGTGAATCATTTTCAAATATAAATCCAAGGAACTAAAGGGCTTGAGCAACAACCCAAGTCCACTGAGAATTCCTATTCTGGCTCTCAGTAGCACTCAATTCTCACCTGCAGTTTCCAGCAGCCAAAATATTAGTGTGTGGGGAACATACCAGTCCTCCCAGCTTTTTGTCTTGATGAATCTCATACACTCTAAACTTAAAAGTTCCATTTGCAAACAAAAATGGAACTATTTGAGTTACAGAGGCCACCAAGTCTGAAAGAAACTCCCCTGTGTTAACTTCACCCTGAGTTATCCAGGGGAGTAACCACGGCACAGTGCACAGTGCCTGATCCTGTCGGATGCCCCCACTGTTTGCACCCTGTATCCATCCCACAGACCCCACTCTGCAGCACTGGAACAAAGCTAAGGAACCCACCTGCTTCCCTGCTTATCTGTTCATGGGATGATCTAGTGTTTAATGTGGAAATCAAAACAAGCTGTAGCCAAACTAAAAATAATAATAATAAAAAAAACAATGCCCCACATTGGTGGGATTTTGAAAATATAAAAAATAAAAGCTGACCTATACTCTGCAAGTTCTACAACTCCTTCCAATGGCATTCTGCAAGGCTTGGCCCCACAAACATTTCCTCCTGACAGAGCTGCCCTGCTGGGAGAATATCCAGCAGGAACAGTGTCACCACAGGGAGCCCAGCACTGAAATACACGGACCTGCAGGGTCATGCCATAGTGGTAAGGAAATTGTGTGACTGCCCCTTTGACTTGTGGATCCGAACTCAGCACAAAGACCTCTGGGACAGTGGTGGCTAAGAAAAGGCTGTAGGGGTTTTGGTTCAAAAGGAGACGGGAGCTGTATTTTTTTTTTTTATAACAGACATATAAAAACATTTGAAGACAGATCTTTAAAGGATATTTCACTCCTCCAATCTTGGTATTACATCTGTTAGGACACTGAAATTTTAAAAAGACGATACCGCACATGAAAAGTTTCTGGAGTTGTAACTCCTACCCTCCCTCAGCCCAGCTCAGATCAGCAGGGACGGGGTCGGCTTCTTGCCCGGCCAGGCCTCCTTGGCGTATTTCTTCTTCTTGGGTTCATTCACAGCTTCGGGGTTGAAGACAGCGGGGTTTGGAGCTGGGTTCATGTTCACTGTGGAGGGCACAACTGGAGTCAAGTCCACGTCGGGGGCGAGGTTGGGGTAGGGCATGGGCAGCCCCCCGATGAGCGCGGTGCCGTGCACGCTGTGGGGCTGCGAGCCCGCCTCGCTGTGCGTGGGGGGCAGCCCCCCGTACAATCCTCCGCTGTAGGGGAAGCTCTGCATGCGCCGCGACGCCGACTCGTCCGGGGGCAGCGAGCCCGCGTTCTCCAGCCGCTTCTTCTGCACACACAAGAGTTCAGGGGTTATGCATGGAACCATCAGCCTGTTTGAACTGGGTGCCAACACCGTGCCCCAAGAGGCACCTAAATCTGCCAACAAAGTGCCAACAGACCATGTCCCAGGCTTTGTCCCACAAGGTTTCCTCTGGGCTCCCTTCAAAACCACAACAATAACTCTTAGAGGTGCACAGTGCAGGAAGGGAAACAAAAGCTGACACTCAGGTGTGACTTAGATGAAGTCTGAGCACCTCTTCACCTCCTTTACACTCCTGCCAGTTTTGAGCTCATCCTGAACAGAGACCAAGTAGGTCACAGAATGTCCTGGGTTGGAATGGACCCACAAGGCTCACCGAGTCCAACTCCAGCCCTGCACACAACACCCCAAGTCCCACCCTGTGCCCGAGAGCATTATAACACAAACCTTCCCTCCCCCACAGAAAGGAACTGTAACTTCTAGATCACTTGGCTAATTTTGCTCCTGATCACTGGAATCTTCTCCTGCAGTTGGGTTTATGGAATATAATCCTTCTCCACATGATGCTATTTAGTCTATACCAGCAACAAATGAAATTGCTGTTACACAGTGGCTTAGCTGCTCTGAAGTTGTGCAGATCTTTCTTTTTCCTTGCATATTCCAATTAAACAGAACACTTATCTTGGAGCAAAGCCTAAACCTGCTTGTTCTAGTACACAAACATATGAAACATCAAACACAGTATTTAAATAAACTCTCATTTTTCCCTTCTATTTTCTACATTTCCCACAGTTTTATCTGACACCTGGAACTAATGCACTAGATTTCTAGAAAGTTTCTTTTTGGGAGGAAAAAGAAATCACCATTGATCCCATGTGTTATTAAAGAAAAAAGCTAAAGCTGGGTTCAAAGGAAAATGCTCAAATTTGCTAAAAATGACAACTGTGAAACACAGACATGTCTTTTGCTTAACAATGGAACACCTCCCATATGGAAGCACTCTGTTTCTAAGGTGCAATTCATAAATCATAAAGTGAGTTCATTAATGTAATGTGCTAATGAGAAAGTCAGGAGTCATCCCATACCTTAACAGGCACCACTGCTGTCTGTACCATGTTCCTGAACCGCCCCACAGATGGGTCCACGTCCTCTGCAAAGCAAGAACAGGGATGCCTCCAGTGAGCACCACCAGGGATGCTTTCAGTGCCTTCAGTGAGCACATGGCAAAAACCACCTCTCTGGGGTAAAGGAATCTATATCCCAATAAGCAGAATTATGACCAAATAAAAGGAGGAACATCCAGTGGATTTGTCTCCAGGTGGCTCATCCTGGCTTTCCCTCAAATGGAGAATGGGAGCAGCTGGATGAGTGGTTTGGGATCAGACAGGCTGGAGTGTGGGCTGAAAGCTGCTGGTGACAAGGCTCTGCATGTACTAAAGGCAGAGCACCTGCTCCCTAAAATCCTTGAAGTAGGAGTCAGAAGCAGTCAGTCTCTTAAAGTCTGGAAAAATTATCTATTTTTTTGTGATGAGAATGATAGGTGTTTGCATTAGGATGTTCTGAGCACTGAACTGCATCACATTATAAACCAAAATGGTTGTGCTGAGTGTCAAAGGAACAACCTCCACACTGTATTTCAAAATACCTGCTCATTAATTAGCTGCTCTTATTAACAGGAATATTATCCAAACAAAGTATGATTGATAAGAATGCCATTAATACAGAACAGCTAAGGGAGAAAAAGAAGACTAATCTGGAACTGGATCCATCTTCAAATGCATCAGCTTGAATGAGGATTAGGGATGACTTGGTTCACATGTGCAGAAAAACAGCAAAAAACCTCTGAACTAGAGACATCCCAGAGGCAACAGGTAAAGAAAGCACTGAAGGATAGGTGAAAAACAACTAAGTTCTGTTCCCACTGAGATTCTAAAGAGGGCAAAAAATGTTAACCACCTTCAAAGACTAATTTGGAACTGGATCCATCTTCAAATGCATCGGTTTGAATGAGGATTAGGGATGACTTTGGTTCACATGTGCAGAGAAGTAGCAAAAATCCTCTGAACTAGAGACATCCCAGAGGCAACAGGTAAAGAAAGCACTGAAGGATAGGTGAAAAACAACTAAGTTCTGTTCCCACTGAGATTCTAAAGAGGGCAAAAAATGTTAACCACCTTCCTTCTTTTGGACCCATGACATTTCTCCAGTATCTGACAGAGTACTGAACAATGAAGCTGAGTTTGAGATCCCCATCCTGCTCAGGGCTTGCAGTTATTTTACAGGTAGAACAGAAGAAACAGAAGGAGGTCCCAGACTTCAGTGAGACATGTCAGCACCTTCTGTGAAACAGGAGATCCAAAATACTGACTACCAAATTTATCTTCTCCTTATCCACGTGCACCCATGAGGAATCCCTGTGAGCTTACTGGAAGGAGGTCCTGAGGGGCATCAGCTGAGGGCTAAAGCAAGCTCCTTACCCGGGTTGATGATCTCATCATCGTCACTGAACGTCACTCTGGAGTTCTTCCGTTTTCGCTTTGGCCTCTGGATGTCCAAGTTCCCTTCCTCAATGGTCAGTGTGGAGATCCTTTTGTTGTGGGCTGTATTAAACTCTGTCAGATTCTACAGCAAATTTAGAGACAAATGAAGTCTGATTTAATCACATGACTGTGCACATCAGAAGACCACAGGACATTGTTTAGTTTCAACTTCAGCGTTAGATTTATGGACCTGATGATCTTAAAGGTCTTTTACAACCTAAATGATTCCATGACTAAGCAAATGAGGGAGCAATGCTGTCCTTGCTGGAAATGCCATCAAGGCAGTGTGCCATCATACTTGTGGTGTTTGTGAGGGTCTCCAGGATGAGGTGAGAGATGAGAATCTGATTCCCAAGTTCTCATAAGGCTGATTTATTATCTCATGATATTATATTAAAGAATGCTATACTAAAACTATACTAAAGAAAGAGAAAAGATACATCAGAAGGCTTGACAAGAATGAATAATAAAAACTCATGACTCCTCAGAGCCTTGACATAGCTGGACCATGATTGGTCATTAAATTAAAACAATTCACATGCTGGGTAAACAATCTCCAAATCACATTCCAAAGCAGCAAAACAGGGAGAAGCTGAAGCTTCCCAGGAGAGGAAATCCCGTCGAAGGGATTTTTCAGAAAATATCATGGTGACATATACTCACGTCCAGCTCTGTCTCCTCCTCTGGCAGCCCCAGCAAACCCTTCAGCTCCTCATCCTCACCCCCCATCTTCTCGTCCCCCTTGACGGCCGAGGGCAGCGTCTGCGGCTTCTCGCGCAGCGTGTACGCACGCGTGGAGGCGCCGAAGGAAACCGTGGAGTCGATGGGGATCTGCTGGGGCTTGTGAGCTTCCAAACGGATGTGGCCCAGGAACGTGCCATGTGCTGAGGACATCAACATGCAAAACAGTCTGCTGAGCTTGGGATCAAGGTATTCCAGTTCAAGTTTGAGAATCTCAGGAACAGTAACAATTGTTCCAAGGTACAAAGACTGAGGTATTGCTGAAAGCATCAGCTATGTAGACCCACCATCTCACAAACTGAGAGAATACACACCAGAAGTCCTCCAAAAATCACTGGAAATAAACTACAAACACTTTTACTTTCTGTATTCCTGCGGGTCCCAATGTACTGTCTGGACAGTGCAAAAAACACCTGACAGGTTTCAGACCCTCAGAAGACAAGGCTTCACTAAAATTGTGACAGAAAGATCAAGACACTTTCCTCCTCTCTTCTGGCCTCTTACAAGTTAGAAATATTTGAAACACCCAGTGAGGCAGCTGTAGGGTGACTGGAGCAAACACTCCTTGGCCCTAACCCTTGTCTTTCCCTACAATGCAAATTCAAATTATATCCATTTGCCCACAGTGCTGACAACAATGGAAAGGGGAATAAGTGTCTCAGATTCAGAATGTTTAAGCACTGAAGTACAGCTCTTCTGTCTGGTTAAATGCCACACTACTTACTGCTGTTCAGATCTATGAGGAAAACCCTCTTGAGATGTTTGTGATAGACCAAGGCAGCATGGACCCGAGAGCAAGACTGGTGGTCAATGGTAAAATCACACAGATCAGGATTTCTCCCAAAGAGATAGTATTTCTTCTCATCAATGATGAGTTTCTGAGGTAGAATATCAAACAGAGAAGCATATTAGACTCCTAGAATCTTTTGGATCTTCCTGAAAAAAATTCAAGAACATTAATAAATAGAACAAATTCAAGACAAAGCATCAACAGCTCATCAATATTTCAGTTTAGTCTGGCACTGTTAAATACATACACTCAAGTCTGCTCTTTATAAAATCAGAACAGCTGAATATGGGAGAGTCCCAGTTATTCACCTCTTTAGCAGCCAACACTGGACATTCTGGGAAGGACAGCACTCTTCAAAGCATCAGACTACCTTATACAGGAGATTTTCTCTGACATCTGCTCCCAGAGATTTTAACACATTCCTTGATGGATGAACTCAGGCTTTGTCTAAGACAGGAACCCGTGCTTGGTGATCTCCAGTCTGATACAGGATATCAAAATTATACCTCTGTACAGAAATGGGCCTACAGGAGACTTCAGACCTCTGGTGTAAAGGGGCAAAACTATACTGAGTATGTGCTGTGATCTGAATCTGTATTAGTCTATTCAAGTAAACCATTAATTTCAGGAATTTCTTCTTTACTGATCCTAGTTCTAATATCTTTTTTAAAAAATATCTTACAACTCTTAATATTAGTTACATAAACATCTATATAAAATGAGGGACACGTTGACAAAGTCCTACAGTATATCTGTTACCAGATGGTGTTAAAGGAATCCTTGCAGCACCTGAATGCTGCAGTACTGAGCAGGGCATGTGCAGAACCTTCTCACTGCAATTAGAACTTCATCTAATTTGTACTTTGCTACTCCAGCTGCACAAGGCAAAGGCTGCCTGCACATCACATATCTGTTAACAGGCTTCTCCTGCTTTTTGGAACGTTTACCAAAGTCCACATGTTTCAATAGCATCATCCAGGGAATGCTGACACATCTTCCATTGAAAATCCCACATCTTGGTTCAGGAGAGCATTGCTTCCAAGAGATGGTCTGAGATGAACTCACATTCTGCCTGTCTGAGCACCTGGATTTCTCCCCTGCCTCCCTGCATTCCCAGCTATTCAATCCTCTCCTCTATCCCACTGCCACATGTCTGAGCAAAGCTTTTGGCTTGCAAAGCCTTTTTTCCCCTGAGTTCATCTCCCTCCATTTGGGTGGGCTGGATCAGTCTGTCTTTGGCACGTCCCAGCAGCTCCATGGATTCCAGGCACTGGGGGTGGTGCCAAGGATCTCCCTCTCTGGCAGAGCATTCCAGCCAAGCAGGTGCTGCTCCTCCCTTTGCCAGGTACAAAGCAGTTCCAGCTCAGCTCCAAGCAGCCAGTGTGTGCCCAGGCCCAGGGGGCTGGGCTGGGCTGGGGGATTCCTGAGCTGAAGATGACACAAGGAGCACCCACAGTCACTGGCTCTGGGGCACCAAGGAGACAGACTGCAACAAGATGCAGTATTTATACCCCCCTGCTTCATCTGTGAGGACAAAAATCCCATCATGGACCTCAGCTTCCACTGCAGATCACCCTGCCAATCACATCTATTCACCTACCTAGCAACTCTGTTTTTAGCACTGCTACAGTCACATGTCACTTCCCTGCTGGTTTTTTTCCTGATTTTTTCCCCCATACAGATGCTGTATATTTTCCATGTTGGATTTTCCAGCATTCTACTGAATATGTGTCAGCCCCCATGCTGCAAGTTCTCATCATTTGGTATTCAGTAATAAGCATTTATTTCTGCATGCTTAAAAGAATTAATTGAAGAACCCAACTCCACACTTGTGTGCATCATGACAATTTTATGACTGATTGGTCCCTTAGAATACTCTGTTAAATGTCTTATTTCCCCCCCAAGCCAAGATATACAATTAAAGCATCAGCTCATGACAGCAACTGCTTTGTGAAATCTACTGACTAACACATTTTGGCCTGCCATCTTAAAAAAGAGCATTTAGGCGATGAAGGTGTGCATATTGATCAGCTCTGACACCCACTACCAAACCAAGTAACTTCTAAACCTCTGGCCAGTTTCAACCAGCACTGAGATTATGAAATTTCAAGCAATTCTGTGGAAACAAACAGCTAGATAGAATAACTCCATCAATCCCCTCAGTGATACACAGGCTGGCAGAAAACCCCAGAGTGCCAATACTTAGATTTCAACCCCCAAAAAAACCTTTGTGAGTCCACACCTCATTTCATAAGGCAGCAATGACAGCTCAATTGGCAATTCACCTGTAAGGACATGGTCTATTGACAAATGAAGTGCAAATGCAAAATGCAAGTGATTTTCCTCCAAGTGAGAGATGTAAAACATGCAGGTGTCTCCCCTGAATTGTCTGGGGCAGAGCAATGCATCTCAAAGCCTCAGAATACTCAGACTAAAACCATGAGAAATCACTATACTGAGTTTATTGGGTTGTGCTCTCACCTGGCCACTTTATCATCACTTTCTGTCTCTTCACAAATGCTGCTTTTCACAAGACCTCCAGTTAACCAGAAAGTATAAGCCACAGATGAAGAGCTTAAACTAATATGCAGTCTCCTCAATCCTTTCTGGTAGAATTTTATTTCATTTTTTAATTCCACCTGCAAACAGATCCCTCCACTTCCTCCCTGAATGCTCTACATGTCAGTGTGCCTTTGTGAGGCTTCTCCTTGCATTTCTTTACCATAATTTCATGAGTCTTACTGGTATTTTCCCTTAAGATTAGAGTTATTTCGTCCAGATATTGATCCAAGAACATCGTAACTGTTTGTTACATCACATCTTTTGAGGAACCCTGGTTAGGTTTTCTGGGAATTTAATTTCCCAGCACTGGATTTATATCCCATATTCTGCAGTTCCTTACTCATTTGGTCCAGCACTCTGACTCTTCCCATGCTCAACACCTTTGCACTAGTGAATTCCATGATTCCACACTCTAAAAAAAGATGAATATTAACTTTTCCTTTTATTGCAAATTTGAAAGTCAGTCTTATATAAACACAGCTCTGATACCAAGTGGAAGCTGATTTATTCCTCCACAAACACTGATCAGCTCTGCAAGCAGTTACCTCACAATTTCAGTTTCCATAAAAACTGATCAAACAATTTCTCATTCTTGCCCACAACTGAAACCAGAAGCATCCTTTAAGTTTTCATTTGCACCTGTTACACACAAACAATACTGCCCTGACTGGGCAGCACTTCCAAGAGATTTTGCAAAGACACAAATTCATGGAAGTTACTGCAACAAATCATCAACAGAGAAGATAATTTTATTGCCTTTAATTCAAGACAACGTTTCCAAAATGTTCTGTGCCTCTGAGCTATAACCCAGTGTCTTTCTTCACACACTGAGCTTAAACACTGCATGGCTTGTTTTGCTGTTGCACTTTGCAGACCCAGCAATCACAGGGTGACCCTCAGCCTCGGCACGAGGCTGGGACACTGATGGCTCGGTTAGTATCAAGTGCTCAACAACCCAGCATTTAACAGTGCTGCTCCTTGGTTACTGCTGCCTGCCAGAAAAGACAAAGCTGAAAAACTCTCTGCCCCCTGTACTGAACAGGGAAACACAAGGATCACATCCAAGCGCTGTTTGGCTCCATGCTACAGGATCTTGCAGGACTATTTAAATTAGTGGAACTTGTTGGCAATGGTACCTACCAGCAGCAGCTTTTCCTTCTAGACAGAGAAGAGGAGGAGCTGTGGAAAACATGTGAGGGAAAACACCATGGTGGCACCAAGGGCAGGGGAGAAGGAGGGGGAGGAGGTGCTCCAGGTGCTGGAGCTGAGATTCCTCTGCAGGCTGTGATGAGACCATGGTGAAACATGGTGCCCCTGTAACCCATGAAGTCCATGGGGGAGGCAGAGATCCACCCACAGGGGATGCAGAGATCCACCCACAGCCTGTGGGGATCCATGGTGGATGCAGAGATCCACCCACAGGGGATGCAGAGATCCACCCACAGCCTGTGGGGATCCATGGGGGATGCAGAGATCCACCACAGCCTGTGGGGATCCACAGGAGATGCAGAGATCCCACAGCTCATGGGAAAAGGGCTCACACTGAAGCAGGTGGATGCTAGAGAAAGGTGTGATCCAGTGAATGGAGAGAGAGGGCCTTTTGCTTCCAAACTAGAGCAGCCCAGCCTTAAAGACTGCACCCAGAAACATTTCTGTTTCAGTCAGCTTCAAGTCAGGAGTCTCTCCACACTGAAATACATTCACTGGTTTGGGTTCTCTCTGTCAACAATGGTAAAGAGACTTTATTTTTTCCTTTCAGTGTGATATAAGACAAAATATGAAATAGAGAATGAGGTGGTGCTGTAATAAAAATAACTCGCTGTATCTGTGCTGATCACAGATCCTGAATGTGGGAGGAAAAATCAAATCAAACTGTATTTCACACTGTAGGACAGAGCAGCACTCTTGCAAAACACAGAATGCCTGGTTAATCTGACTGTAATGCAAAATAAAAAAATTAACTGACCAGACAGGTTTCTCAAACAAGCAGTACAAAGGGAAGAGGTTTAACTGATGGAAGTCCTGCATGGCACGAGGCTGCCTTGCACAGGCAAGGGAAAAATCACTTCATTCATTGTTTCAGAGAAAAAAAAACTGATCTGAAGATAATGAATACATGAGAGAAAGGAAATGCTTATGAATAAGTGTGGAATTTGATGGGGAATGTTCTGCTGCTGGTGCCTATGTACATGATACACCAAATCCATCAAACCCTACTTCCATACCTCAATGAGTTTGTCTCCTTTGACTACATCCAGATGTAAGCCAGGTGGTGGTTTCCCTGCCCTGGAAAATAAAGGAAAAATATAGTATCAAAACATTTAATAAAAATGTTATTAGTATTAGAGCTGCTTGAGCTACAGACCAAACCTACACAAATGTAAGCAGAAGTATTTTGGGGAAAATACGAAAATCCCATAATTTTCTTTTCCCTGCAGATTCCTTCTGACAACACAAACCAAGATTTTTTATGGTAAGAGTGAAGGTAACAGGACATGAAGCATCTCAAGCTTTACCTCTCCAGGTGAAAAAAAGCTGATTTACACAATTATCAGAGCAAGTCCTGAGAGCAATGGTAAGAGGCAGGAAGGGACCAATGACTAGAGATGGGGATAGACTATTTGCTGAAGAGCTCTGTTTCCTCATGGCACCCTCAAATCAGCAATCTCTACCCTTGGCTGCTGAGAGGAACAGAAACTTCTACCACCCTTCCCCTCTAGGATGGTGATGGCAAAAACCTCAAAGGGGCTCTGCACACACCTGCAGTATTACACACACAGTGCTGGGCAGTGGCAGTGCTCCTCCACACTCACTGTGATCACAGCACAGGGAACACAGTCTAGAGGGACCCTGTGGCAGCACAGCCCTGCCCCACCACGTTCCACACAAAGAGCAGCCCCACGGCTCCTGCTCACCTCCTGAGCACATTCACCTGTCTGCAGTGCCATTCCCACCTGGCAGAGGGAGCACAGAGCCTGAGGGACTCAGCAGATCACAGCAAGGCAAGGCCAGCAAGGGGTGAGCCCAAGGGGTAGCAGGAACACACTGGGCACCTACAGGGCTCAAAGCCAGGAGCCTGCTGTGCCACCTGCACCACACAGGATCCCTTGGCAGCAAGGGTTCTTTTTCTGCTCAGATATCTCAGAATCTGCATCTCTAGGGCTTCCTCACAGGTAACATCTCTGCTGCTTGTCTCTAGGGCTGGAGCAGCTTTCCAGGCAGCAGCAGTGACCTAGTTCTTGGCTGCACTGCTGCCCTGCTGAGGAACTCTGCAGAGATCACGTTCCCATTCTGCTCAGAGCACGAGGCAGCCCAGGGAACAGTGATGAGGGGCAGTGATGTTCTCAGGGTGGCTGGAGAAGAAAGAGAGGTCACTGGTAGCTGAAGTTGTTTGAAGGGGTTAAATACAGATTTCATGTTTCTAGGGTGTGCCTTACATTTATTGGTTTCTTCTGTGCTGCAAGGTCAGCTCCCCTCAATAATCTCATGTAAGAACACAGTCTCCTGTTATTTCTACTTCATTTCTTTCCCAGGCATTTTCCTTTCTTGTTTCCACTCCATTACACCAGCCTGCCCAGATCTCTCTGCCCTTTCTGAAATGATCACTTGGGACTTTGACAAGCTTTCTTGCCAGGCCCTTCTCAAAGACTGTGGATATAACCCCCTAACCTAAACAACTCCTGTTGTTTCAGAGGAACAAACATCAGCAGCAAAAGCAGAGGATGCCAAACTCCAGCACAAGTGGTGACTTCACCAGTGAGATGGGATTATGGTGATGTGGGGACAGACCAGCAAGCAGAAATGCTCCCAGGGGTGGGACACAGTCTGTGTGATGAGCTGCAGTCCCTCCAGCACAGCCAGGGCAGCTCCTCCTCTCAGGTACTGCTTGAGCCACTTGCAGCCAGGCTACACCTGAGCATGCTGTCTGCTCTGTGCTCCCTGCACATCTCAGTGCTCAGTTTTCACTGCAACACAGGCTCCTTTCATGGATTCCTGTCTACTTCTCAGCATTCCCTCTTTCTGTCTCTGAGCTCTGGAAAACTTGTTTTCCCCCCTTCCTCTGAAATTGCCAAGTTCTGGTTACTCTGCAACCCAGCTTTTGGTAATTTTCACACCCCAGCCTTACTCTGATCAAACAACAGTTACTTCTCCAATTTTGTTTTTCTTTCCAAATAGGTAACCTTTCAACAAATTCATTCTACAAGTCTACTTCTCACTCAGTCTGGCCTCTGCTTTTCCTTTCAGTGATCTCTTCCTGGATACTCAGCCTAACACATTTTAGCAACTCCCTCCCTGAAGCTGTCAGGTCATAGGGGAGCCCCCAGGAGCTCCAGCACAGCTGAATCCTGTCTCATGGTCTTGTTTTGCTATATACCAGCTCTGCTTTTTCATTGCCCCCTCTACTTTTAGTTTCATTCTTGCTCTTATTTTTACTCTGCCTCTACCCTCAACTTTATTTTCAACAGATAAACCAAGCTCAGCAGTATTACAAAGCAGTGCCTTCAGCTGTGAATTAAAGTGCTAGAAAAATCTACCTATTCTCTGGCTTCTTTTGGACTGTAGAGAATCCTTTGTAGGCAGTATTTCCCCTTCTATCTATTCCTGCACAACACTGAACACAGGAAGGTTGTAAATACTGATTACGATACCATGAAAACAAATTAACAGGAGTATTTTCTGACAGAAAACTCCTTTGGAACATTTTAAGTCAATGTCACAGCTCAGGCTGCCCAAGTTAGATACCCTGAAAAGCCTTTTAATTAGAAAAGTAGAAAGATTGTTCAGTTTTATATTCAAAACTAATTGGCTCCAGAGGCACCAAAGATCAGAAGCAATGCCTGGATTTGGAAGTATCAGTCACCCTTCACATGCTCTGCCCCATCAGACCTCTCACCTCACAGATCAAGGAGTAAAACATGAAAGGAAATCTCTTGCACAAATCTCCTAGAAGAAAGTTTGTTAGAAAGCTGGCCTTATGCTGGTACAGGAGAGCAGTTTTTTCCCATTTTATTTCCAATGTTAAAAAAGTCCTTTTCCACTAAACTAATTCCACTATGTGCTAAAATATCCACCAAACTAATTTTCCTACACTGTTCTGAAGGATGAAGAATTACTGGAGGTCAGCAGATTGTCCTCTCTACAGAACACAAAGAGCCCTGAGCACTGCCCAAGGCCAACACTCTCCTATCACAACTTGGCTCCAGCACAATGCTTGTGTTTGAAAATTAAAAAAAGCAATTTCTTCTGTACCTTCCAGATGGTGCATCACAGTCCCCAGTGCCTCCCCAGGGCAGCATCCTGCAAGTGACCTGAAAATAACACCTGCAAATGCACTGAGTGTGGTGGGCACTAGTTGAGAGAGTTTGACTGAGACCCAGGATGCTCTGACTGCCTCCTGAATCTCCTGGGGGGGTGTGAAACCTTCCAGAGAATTAACAGAGCTGACTGGCAAGGAGAACAGGAGCATTCCCAGCTTGGGATTCCCCACAGCAGCTGCACACGTGGGTTTGCTGGCCTTACAGAAGCCATCAACTGCTTACAATGATCAGCAGATAAATATTTACAAGGGATACCACTGAACAAAACCAGGTTGCAGAATAGGTTTTTAAAAGATTTAAATAACTACAGGCAAAGAAATCTTTCTTCTGTACTAGAAACAGAAAACTGTGTTTCCTTGCTTTCTCCACCTCATGCTCCACAGGCCAGGCCATTCTCTGTAACAAAGATAAAGCATTTTGGAAAAGAAGGACAAGGCCATTAACACTTTGGAATGTGCCAAGTAAGAGAACGGAAGTTTTACAAATCAGGATCTCTTCCACAGTGCAGATTCAATGCTGACATGCCAGCAGGGTTGTAATATCTATATCCAGCTGAAACTCAGCAGTCTGACTGATGTAAAACACTACAAGAAATCTGGAATCGTTGCTATTAAGGACATGGATAGCACAGCCATAATTCTATTGTGTTAGTTTAAAATAAGGTCAATTATTTGGGTTTCTAAACAGGGACTCAGAAGCTAAATTTAGCCACTTCCTAAAAATCATGGCCTCTGTGACTCATGTACACACCTTCATGTCCAACTTCAAGGACAGGGTGGAATTTGCAGAACCCTGGAGCTCATACTCTCCAGAAATCTGTGTAAAAGCATCACCAGGAATGCACCAGAAAAGCACCACCAGTGCTTTTCTGGTGCATTCTTGCATTTGCAAGAACAAAAAGTTCTTGGCCAAAGAAACTAAAGAGGAACAATTTGTGCCTTCAAACAAACCATTCCTGATGTATGTTCATTCCAGGACAAGCCTGACATCCCCACAAGTGATGTGTCAAAGAGAGTAAAGGAAGAGTGACAATTCCAAATACAAGTTACACTAGGACAAAAGGACAGGCAGGCAGTACCCACTGAACATCTGATGGTCCCTTCAAAACTGTACACCAGATAACCTGTACCTCAGAGAAATCCATTTACTACCTAAAGCCAGCTCAGAAGCTTTGCAAAAGCCTTAATCAAACTAAGATGTGTAATTGCTACCTAAAGACATTTCCTGACCTCATGGAATGGCTAAATTGCAATCTACAGGAATATTGGCACCCTCTGGATGCCAACTGTAAATGCACAGCCCAAACCTTGGCTAACAGGCACACAGGAGTTACAGTGCATGCATAAACATGCTCTGGCATCAGCAAGGTGGCAACCACTGCTTTTCATCTGTCTTATTTAGCTGCTGGAAACACAAGGAAAGAAAGAATAAATATTGTATGGATTATGAAGAAGCAACCTATAACAACACAAAAACTAAATCAAAGCCACAACTTACATTGGATGCAAACTGGGAATTTCAGTGCAGAAGTCTTTTCTGAAAATGGAGTAATCAGATACTATCCAAAGAAGAGGTAAAATGATAGAGGCAAACCTCAAAAGCATGGGCAACAACTTAAAGGCAAGGAAAAAAAACGACTCCTTTTGATTATATCTAAGATGTATTTCTCATATGATTGCTGTTCACAGGCCCCAGCCAGCTTTCCTTAGAGGCAGGAACATACACAGATAGGTAAAGACTGTGATTTTGATTTTAATAGAGGTTGAGGAGACTGAAGATTATTCACTACAGAGGAATCTGCTCTGACTGTGAAGACTCTCTGCAACTCCATGCTCTTGGTCACCCAAAGCCCTTGGAGTGAAGCCCTACAGTGCTGCCTGGACAGGAGACCTTTGGGGCTTGTGTAAGCCCAGGCTTCCTGCAGGGCACCTTCACATGCTCTGAAATCAGAGCTTTGAGTAACAGCACTGCTGGTCCAAGCCTGCTCCTGAAACCACTCCAGGCTGGGGAACCCTGCCTGGGAAAGGCCCAGACTGGTTCCACATCACACCTGAGCACTCTTTGGTTGGCTCTGAGAGGAACAAATCCTTTAAAACCATCAGCTGGAAGCTGCAGCTCAGCAGATGTCAGCAGAAGGCATCCAGAGCTTTAGCATGAAACACACTCTACTTGTGTAGCAGAACAGACAAATTACAGAATAAATAAATGCACCTGGCAGGAGAGCTCCTCCCTTCCACCACTCAGCACCACCCAACACTTCCCATTTTGGGTTCACTGCTCAGAACACAAACACAGAGCTGGAAGCTCTCCAGGCTGCCTTCCTGCTAGCTCGCTTTTTAATTTTTCCTCTTTTGAAACAGGTTTTGGGTTTCAAAAGCAGCATTAAGGAAAAACACAGAGCTTTCCCTGGTGTTAGCTGCCATGTCTGCACGTGCCAACTGGACACGGTGAAATTGTCTCAGGCACTCTTTACTTCACAGCTACACAACACAAAAAATGGTCCCTAAAACCATTACAGTGTGCAAACATACAACAGAGTCCAAGAGAAAATCAAAAGTTTCCTTACAGCGTACAAGGACAGAGTCCAGACAGGAACTTTGCTGTTCCCAAGAACTATTTTGGAATATTACTGCAAAAGGACATTCAGGTTGCAATAAGTGAATTACAAAAAATCATAAAAATGTGAGAACAGAACAGGGCCTGGCACCCAAACAAGCCCCCTGACCCCTGGGTTTGGATCATCTCCCGGATCCCCCCTCATTCCTCATCCAGCACAACAGATTGTGCTTCAGACCCAAACCAGGGCAGGGGCACAGGGAAACTCTGTCAGACCCTGCTAAAGGCAAAACCAGACCTGAAGAGGCCCTCACAGTTCCAGGTGTCACAGCTCTCTCCCCCAGATGGGATTTCCTTTGCAATTCTTCTGCAATAGCAAGCAAGCCACTGAGACTGAGCATTTTACAAGCTGTGTTTCCCCAGCTCCTCCATCTACAGCTTTCAAAGGTACCAGTCATTCCAATTTACCGTGGTCACTGTTGTACAAAAAGACTAGGGGAAAGAAATGGATGATACTTCAAATTTCAAGCTGAATATCCAGAATAATCTTTGGCTTTATCTGGTTTATTGTGTCACTATCTTATGGAACACCATCCTGTCTCATGTAGATGTTTATTACTGTGTATGGTCAGCACAAATAAGACCCTAAAATAGATGAGGAATTCTCTTCCATGAGAAGGTGAAATGGCTTTACCACCTTAAGCTTAAAAACCAGCTCTAAATTACAACACATCAGCACTGCCACACAGCACTGAGAGCTACAACACAGCTGGGTGGGCAGGGACAGCCTGGGCTCTGCAGGGACAGGCAGGGCTGGACCATGAACCCCAGCTCTCAGGTGCTGTGGGCTGCTCGTGTGGTTTAAAATACCATGGGACCCATCCCACCCAGTGCTCCCATCCCATCCCTCCAGCACCCAAAGAAGGCAGGAGAGCCAAGATCCCTTCAGCGACGATCAAAGCACAGGAGAGATGAGCAAGGGCGCGCTGCCGGCAGGAGGGCGGGCAGGCCGTGTCCGGGGCTCCCTCCGGGCTCTCCCGCCGCTCTCCGGCCCCAGGCACGGCCGCGGAGCTCCTGCCGCCCTCCCTCAGCCCTGCCTCCGGAACCAGGCTAACAAACCCCAGCCTAGCCTCAGGCTGCCGGCTCTCCCGTAGCGGACACTCCCCCTGAGCACGGTATTTCATTCCCACCGCCCCACGCATTCTGCCTGAGCTCTCAGCAAAAGCCTCGGCGCCCCAGGGAGGCCCCGTACCCCCGCGGCGCTGCCGATGGCGGCACGCGAGGGCCGCGCCCGGACCCCGCCGGCCCGGGGAGCGCAGCCCGCGCCGCGGACGCGCTCAGGGCGCTCGGCCGCTCACCAGCTGGGGCACTCGAACAGGGACCCGCCGCCCGCCGCGCCCGCCGCCATCTTGGCTCTGCCCCATTCAGCCGCCGCGGGGCACCATGGGAGGCGCGATCGGCGCGCGGCGATCCCGGCGGGCTCCGCGCGCCGCCAGCGGGGCGGGACCTGGGCGGGGCCTGACTATGCCACGCCCCCGAGGGAATGGCCCCGCCCCCGCCCGGCCCCGTGGGACACGGGAACAGAGCCGGTACCGAGCGTGGGACACGGGGACAGAGCCGGTACCGAGCGTGGGACACGGGGACAGAGCCGGTACCGAGCGTGGGACACGGGGACAGAGCCGGTACCGAGCGTGGGACCCGGGGACAGCCCCGGCACCGCCGCCGAGCTCAGCACCCCGTACCCTCAGTTCCCGTTTCCAGAGGAACAAAGCAGGCGAGGGGGACGGAGCCTCCCAATAACGCTCGGGTTCAGGCCTGGTGACACAAACAAACAAACAAACAAACAAACACGAGCCCAGTGCTTCTGTTCTCCATGGCAGTGCGACAGCCAGGGGACTCGCCTGGCAGCAGGCATGCACTAATGGACAGCTCCTACCATCGCCAAGGAGAGCTTTGGAAAAGGAGCAGAACACAGATTTTACCATGGCTCCAAGTTCTAGCAAAAGGCAGGTAGTGAGAGCTGGCCAATGCTGCTGAGGCACGAGATTCATTTTTCTGGGGTCAGCTATTGTACAGGACTCTGCACAGAAGTACTGTGTGTGTCCTTGTGAAATGAATTTTGTGTTTTCAGGGAGTTTCATTCTGAAAAACCAGAATGAACAAAACTAAAGCTGCAGGAAGCACTACTGTGCTGATGTAAAGTCTACTCTGCTGAGAGGGAGAACTGCAAACACACCTGTGCCAATGTCTAAACTGCAAGAGAAATGAGCTCTGAGAGAGGCTTTTAAAAGTGTTTATTGATGATTATTGGATGGAATGACGGCGCAATAGTGCAAACCACTGTGCAATTGGGAGAACACTCCCTTCCCAGCTTTCACGTTTACTTTATTATAGACGAGACATGGAAGAAGGATTAAATACAAAATGGGTCAGTATGCTGCATTTACCACCCCCGCTGGGCTTTGGACAGATTTCTGTTCCCTCAGTGCATGTCAGTTCAGAGCTATAGTGAAGAGGGGAGTGGCTGCTTGTTCTGCCCAACCCTATGAGCTGGAACCAGCAATCTTTTTCATCTGCACACACATCCCCAGTCTGAAAATCCTAGCACTTCACTCAGCCAGTTTCTGCACTTTCTATTTCATAAAGAATTGAAAATACCAAATGTTCACAAGCCACACATAATATTTACTGAAACACCACAAGTGAGCTTGAAGAGCACTTCTTCAGAACCAAGATTTCTGCTAACACTCTTCACTAACTTTACTAGCTTGTAAACTTAGGTGCCCACTTCCTCATTTTTAAGTGTTTTTCCCCCTGGAAGCTTCTAAAAACAGTTGGGAGTGAGCAGCTAAACGTTTTATATTTAGTGCTTGAGTCAGCATTGGAAGAGATTTATTTGTCCACTAGCAAGCGACCAGCTAGTTTGTCTAAGGAGATTGCACTGTTAGATTCTAAGTTAAAGAACATTCTGTCCTCAAGTGATGCATTTTGTGAAAAAACAATCCCAACCACACCCAAAAAAATTAAACTACGCTGTTATGAGTCTCAAGGCTAAACTGACCAGCATGTAGAGGTTCAAATCATCATCCACACATACCCTCCTTGCCTCTCAAATCTGTGACAACATCCTTTTCTTCAAGAGAATCTAGAACCACAGCCACTTGGAGACAATAAAACCATGGGGCAGATACTGGAGACTTTAGAAACTGCTGGATTTACACAATGTGACTTGGTGGTGGGCTGTCTTTGAATGTCATTCTCATTGCTGTCCAACAAAGTTACCTACACACACAAAATGTTGAAGTTGTGCGACTTGTCAAAAAACAAGACATCTCCAATTATTGATCACACTTCAGCATACAGCTGGGACAGGGAAGAACACGTTACAGAAAGCAAAACCACGATATTTTAGTTACATAAAACAATAGAATTTGTATATAAACTGATAAATACTGTCTCCATGGTTCACTAATTCCAAATACTAGTTATCTGCACATTAGTTGCTAATATCTATTATTAGAAGTAGTTCCAACTTGTGCTCTCTCAGGGTGGTCAATTCATCTCCGAGACTAGTCAGCCTGTTTGCTCTGACAGAAAAAATCTCAGCTGTGAGACTGGGTTCCATGGGAAGATTTCATCTTGTCTTCCAGATAATGAATCCTATGATTATACAGACCACAGCAAGGCCAAGAATCAGGATACAGATCTTCTTACGGGATTTCTTCTAATAAGAGAAGAGAAAAGAAGCCACTGACACCAGGAACACTTGAGAAAAAGCAAGGCTACCATTCATGTTACTGACTTGGGTGAACAAGAGCACTTGGTACCCCCACAGTTATTTGAGAGAAGCAACTAGTAGAGTCTGAACACTTTTACATGTTCCTTAAACTCCATGATTCTACAGGTGAATGTTTTTAATTTTAGGAGTGCAGAGGTCTAAGAGATGCAGTTAAGTTAAAATGTGACAGGTTTTGCTTCTCTTAAGGACAACACAAGCCTCAGAGAAGGCCAAACCTTTCTAGCTATTTAGATTTTTCAGGTAATCCTAATCAAACTCCAAGGCAGTTCTCACATACAATCTCCCCTTGGCCACTTGGGCTTGGTGTTGCATTTCTACAATTTAAATTATTTCATGTGCAGTTACTGAACTTGGATTTCCCAGCTTTTCTCACTTTATTCATCACAGGAAACTACAGTCCATCCATATACACCAAATATTTTTAACTTGGCATCTAAGGATTTGAGGGTAGCTATATAGAACCTCTTCTTTCTCCATCCGGAAAAAAAAATAAAACCACATGCAAAACATGTCCAACAGCTCCCAAACTTAGATTTATAAATACCTCAGAACTTTGGCAAGGAAGCCATGGAGAGAGAGAATACTATTACATGCTGCCAGATGGTAAAACCAACTTCCCAGCCTTGCACTCAACAGCACTGGTGTTTTATTGCCCTCCAGTACCTCCCACTTAACAGCTTGGAAGAGCCAATATTTATTTTCTTGTGTAAGTCCCAGCAGTAATGGGACTGACTAAAGCAGAACCCTTACCCCTGAACAGAAGCTGGACCTGCAGGGACAAGGATGGTGAAAGGAACCTACAGAAACCACTGGTACCATGCAGCAGTGAGAGCCACTGCCAGAGATTTATGGGACAGGGGGCACTGACTATGGGATGGAAACTCAGCAGCTGGACAGGAGTGCTGCAAATCCTGCTCACCAGAAGTTACCCGAGTCTGGGCAAAGATTTTTGCATGTCAGGGTCCTGCCTGATATGTTTACAAGTTGGATACAATATCAGAATTTGTTCTTGTTTCTTCTACTAACTCCTAACAACAAAGACAGGTGAACACTTAGGCTTGCAGAGTGTGAAGTGCCAGACACTATCTACACTCCTTTACTCTAAAGTAAAATGTGAATTTCAATACTGTATTTTTGACTCAAGTGCTTTAAATACTCCTTGCAGGCAATTCTGAATGAGTGCCAAAACTAGTCTGGTGTGCTGCAGTCCTCAGTGTCTTGCTCTGCCTGTTTCATTAGTGCTCAACCATACACTGACAATCAAGCAAGCACACAGAATTTACCTGATAATAGGCAGCTCTCTGTAACTGCTCACTGGCTCTTTCCACATGGACTTCTGCACTTTCCACATTTGCCTCTATGCTATCTATGGAAAAAACAGGAGAACTTATTGCAAAATATTTCAGAGCTTCAGTGTTTCAAAATTATAGCCAGAAATACAATACTTTTAATGCAAAATACTGAAAAGTTTAACCCATGTAACTTGGAAAACATATAACTGAACCAAGAAAAAACTCATTCTCCAAATGCACTTACCAATCATATCTCCTTGGTCATGAATCATCATGGCTAAATCCTTAAATATCTGATTGACATCCAAAATGTCTGCCTGAAGACAACAGTTTAACAAGTTAAAATGAACAGTGGGTACAATATTTTCTAATCCTCACTCTTAGTACCTCTTCTGACCATCACTCAAAGGGTCAGAATAGGCACCAGCATTCAGTGCCTTGATGTTACCACCTGTGCAACTTGGGATTACCATGGGAGCCTACAATGCTCCAGCTACTGAACATTTGTTTAATCACACCAGCAATTAGCACAGCATGAACACTGTAACATGAGTTGCTCCTGCCATATCTGAAGGCTCACCAGTCAACACTGAGGGAAAATAGAACTCCTTCAGATTATCTTGGCATCAATCCTCTCCAGGAGGAACTCTATTCCTCCACCACCAGCTCTCCTCAGCCCATCCCATTAATTAACACTGCATCCTTTAATTTATCTCCCAGTGCTGTTAACTGTGCAGGACTGACTGGTCACCTCTAATTGCCTGATTGCAGTTTCTCTCTCTTTAATGAGTTCAAGGTCCTGTTCAGTTATTGCCACATCTTCTTCCTGAGACTGCATCTGATTCCAATCTTCACCACTGAAAGAGAGGGAAAGTCAGTGTCTCTCTCACCACAGGTACTTCCTTGCTGCATTTTGTGGCAAAATGATTTAAAGTGGAAGAGTTTCCTACAGAACAACCCCAGGTTCTTGGCCCTGTCACTGTGTACAAGGACAGGATCAATTTGTGACAACAGTCACAAACTGGAACAATTGAAAAAAGGGACAGATCAGGCAGTGTGAAGGCACTGGGAAGCAGTTACATGCATAGCACACTTTATTCTAGAATATAACAATTATCTACGGCATTTTAGAAGAAACTGCCTATTTCAGTTCTGCTTTTTTAAAAAAATACTTGTACCTTCCCTGCTTCTTACCCTCTCTCCAAAAGGGAGAAGTCAGGGTGAAAGTTCTGATAAAGAGCAGCCTGCAAGCACATTAACAGAACAGAAGAACACCTGAAAAGCATCTGCA